TGGCGCCTCCCTGCCTCCCTCCCTCTCCGTCCTCTCTGTCACCCCCTCCCCAGCTGTCGCTCCCTCCTTCCTCCCCCAAACCGTCCGACTGGACCTTCCTTCCCTCGCATCGGCCAGCCTCAGGGTGCTTAAGCTCTCTGGTGTTTACATAAGTGCCAAGGGGATTTCTGCTCTTGGGGATGGCGGTAGCGCGTGTTTCTTCCCTAATCTGGTGCTTCTTGAGGTGAGGGATGTGCGAACGTGGTGTGGAAAACACCTGAAGAAACACCTGGGAAAGCTGGCAGGGATGGGTTCACTTGTGAGAAATTTTCGCCATGAGCTGCTGCTGCACTGTCCGAACCTCCAGGTCTTGTATTTGGACTCGCTTCCTCGATCCTCCCCTCTTCCAGTTCTGCCCAAGCTTCAAGTGCTGGTTATCGGCTTGTACGTCAATTCGGGGGCTTCTCTCGCTTCCCTCTCGCAGTTTGCTTCACTGCACACACTTCGTTTTAATGGCATTTTCAACAGCTACGTTGGGATGATTGATGGAACGGTATCGTGCCCTTCGAGCCTCCAGAGGCTGCAGATCAGTGCGAAAGATGTAACACGTCTGCCACGTTTCATATCGACGTTCACATCGATCGTTCAGCTGGACCTCGTCAACTGCGCTAAGATGAAGACGTTGCCTGGAAATCTCTATGCACGGTTTCCTTCTCTTCAGTGCTTGCGAGTGGATGGTGGTGAAATATAGGAGATGTAGTTCTTTTCGTGTCTGTAATAATATGTAACGTGTAAGGTAGTACTGCCTTTTATCACACCTTTCCGTGTTTTGGGAAATGAGGTACGCGCCAACCAACAAAGAGGATGGAAGGGGTTCAAATTCTCTGACGCATCGCAGCATCCAGCAAATCATGAACAGTGTCAGACACAAGGTCGCTCGCGCAATCTGGCGAGGCGACTGCTGGCAGCCCATCTGAACCACGGTACCGAACACAAACCGCTATAGAAAACGCAGAAACGTGCTCAACCGGTTTTAGTTCAACCAAACCTGACACGCCTTCATTTCTATCTTCACGGATTCCCCGCCTACGTTATCCATGGATGGATGAATGGATGGATTCACCATAGATGAATTCCCCATGGATGGATTCACCATCATTTCAACCTCGTAGTTCTCTGCTGCTAGTGGTTCCCCCCGCCATCGCCTGACGCCATTCCGAAGCGCATTCCTGAATCCTGATTCCTTGATTGCCTCGTTTTTTGACATCACCGTCTCCCGCACAGCATCGCCATCATGCGTAGAGACTATTGAACCAATCCTTGAGCTGACTCAAGAATTGTTTGTTGGGCATCTGGAGGGAAGTGCGTGCTAGCCTCGCAGGCCGAAGCAGTTTCTCTGAGTTAAACACTTTCTTCTTGCGTTGACAATGGTCCGGTGAAAAACACGTTAGCTTAGATTGGAAAACCGTTTTCAATCCGAGCATCACCACGTTCGGATTCATTAGCTTCCATGACTGCTGCGTCGATTCATAGCTTTCCGTGTTTGGAGGAACGGTAACTCGCGTGGGAACAATAACGTGGGTGACGCCATGGATTGCGTTGACAGCCAGCAACCAATCGGCATGAACAATCTTTTTGAAGCTACGAATGGGAGCAAAGACTCTGAGGAGGAAGAACGCGAAGCGCGCTTTGAGCGAGAGCTGGAGGAGCTGATGAAGGCTCTGGAAGAAGTTGTGTTGTCGAAAACGACTGGCGGAAACTCTGCCGACGAGTTACCGCGCAACGAAGTTGACAACGTCGATTCTCAACCAATGCAAACCCCCCCTCCAGCAGCAGCAGCACACAGACCCAGCAGATCCCAAAAGCCGGGACTTACGGAAACGGGACAGAATCGTAACAATAAACAAAGCAGCAGTCCGGCTAGTGTACTGGAAGGTGCAGCAGATTCGCCTTCTCCTTCTACTGAATCTCCCTCCAACGACAGACCTTCAGATTCCTGTGGCCAGCCGTACGCAGTGACTACAGCGGGACAGGCGGCGACTTCAGGGAATAATATCTCCGGTAATTGCGGAACGGGGTCGTACAAAAAAGGTCCGAAGTCCCAGGCGTTGCTACCCGAGGCGGAGCGAGTCGCGCGCGCGAAGCAGCGCGAAAAGGCGGTGGTGAAGAACCAATCGCTGGGCCACGCTGACGCGGGACGCGCCAGCTGGAACGCGTTCATTGGTCGGAATAACCTGGTGTCAGAAAGCGTCGCAGCAGCCTCAGGAACTTCACCCGCTTCGTCCGCCATGCCGTCCGGCGAGGAAGACGGTCTTCCTGCCAGTAAGTTGCCGGCTAACAGTTCCGAACGTCTGGGCGGTTCGCCAGACAAAGGCAATCTGGACGGTTGTTCGCGAGGAGGTATATTTGGAAAGAAGATTTCGTTCGGATTGAAAAAACCTGCTCGTGCTGCTGGTGTTGGTAGCGGCGGTGGTGGCGGTGCTGGTGGTAGTGGTGGTAAGGGGTCTGGTGGTGGTGCTGCTGCTGGTACGGCTCCCCGTCGCCACACGGCGGTTTCGTCGCTGGAGATGCAGAAGCGAATAACGGAGCAGCTCTTTGGCGGGGATGATGAGGACTCGGAGCCTGAAGAGTCGTCCGGGTCCAACGCCGGTTACCCGCCTGGTTACCACAATTTTGCGACTAGCATATTGGGATCTCCTGCAAAAAGCAAAAGCGGGAGCCGCATCAGCAGCAGCGGCAGCCACGTCAGCAGCAGCGGGAGCTGTACCAGCAGCAGCGCCACCTCAGCAGCACCACGAGTGGCACAATCAGCAGCAGAAGCAGCTTCAGCCACAGCAGCCGCCGCATCTGCATCCGCTGCAGCAGCAGAGGCAAGACTAGGACGCTCAATCGTTTCTGGGTGTAACAAATGCGTTCCAGCTGGCAGAGCGAGTGCTGCTGCTGCTCCTGCTGTTACATCTGCTTTCGCGACATCTGCTGCTGCAGTGTCCCCCATGTCCCCGCCTCAGATCAAAGCGAACCCGCCTATATCCCCTCCTCCCCTGCCACCTGTAGCTGATGAAGCAACCCCGTTCTCTCCGCTTCCTCCGCTCCCCCCAGGCCCCCCTCCGGAGACCCCTCTTCCTCCTCTCCATCCGCCTGCTTCTCCCCTCTCAGGCCTTTCCGCCTATGGGGGGAGCAACTTCCGCGCATCTCCCCTTGAGACTGCTCCCACTGGAGCACCTCCGCACGGCCCAGCTTCCCTTGGCGCAGCTCCCCCCCTTCCGCCTGGGCCTCCGCCCATGACGCCTCCTCCGCCTCCTCCCCCAGTCGGAGTACCTTTTGGGGAACGATTAGCAGGTGCGGAAAACCAGAATTCCCGTGCCCCACTGACCCCAGTTTCCCTGGTCCCCCTGGTTCCCCCGCCTCCCCCAGGTCCCCCTCCCGCCACTCCGCCTCCCCCAGCTGTACCCCCCCCAGACTCAGCCACTCTGTTCTCTCCGCACCTCGGCTCAAATTCTCTGAATCTACCCCTTCCTACCCTCCTCTCCGCCCCTACGTCAACTAATTCTGCCTCTGCCGCCGCTGCTGCTGCTGCCGCCCCTGCTACAGCTGCCAGCGATGCATCTGGTGGTTACAGCTACAGCCAGAGCAGCGTTTCTGGCTCGGCCAGGTTTACTTCCCTGTGGAATGCAGGGGACTCGAGTGCTGGTGATGATGACTGTACGGATAGTGCCAATAGCGGGAGTATGAGCCAGGGGCGGGCTGAGAATTGCAGTTATCCTGCAAGTGGAGAGGGAGGGCTGGAGGGGAAGCAGACGCAGTGTGAGTGGCAGGAGTATCAGCCGCACGTGCACCAGCAGCAGAACCAGAAGTACCAGCAGCATCAACAGCGGCACGAGCACTATCAACAGCAGCAGCAGCAAGAGCATCAGGGCGGGGGCGGTTACTATGAAGGCAGTTGCCATGAGTACGAGCAGAGCGAGGAGTACAGGAAATGGCTGGCTTACCACCAACAGCGCCAGCAGGAACAGCAGCAGCAACTGCAGCAACCGCAGCACTATGAGTACGGGCAGAGCGAGGAGTATCGGAAGTGGTTGGCTTACCACCAACAGCTTCAGGCGTACCAGCAGGGGCAGCAGCAGCTGCAGCAGTCATATCAGCAACATCAGCATCAGCAGTCGCAACAACAGCAGCAGCAGCAGCAGCAGCATCAACAGCAGTCGTACCAGCACCAGCAGCAGCAGCAGCAGCCACTTGTCATACCCGCAACAACCAGTCACACATGCTACTCACAATGTATCTGCACCAGCATCCCATCCAAATGCTACACACGCAGCTTACACTGCACAGCACGCTTGTCCAAACACACTGCATGCAGTTACCACTGGCGCAGCCCACACTGTACCGGTGGTTACAAGTGCCTCCCACGTGGTAACCACGTGGTATCTGGTGGTGGACACGAACGTGTTCCTGGACGTGGCTGAGGTGGCAGCGCTCAATAGGCTCATTGCGTGGGGGCTCCGGAACACAGAGAGAGGGATTGGACACACACAAGGGGTGGGGCAGGCAGGGGGGTTTGGGCAGGATGAGGGGATCAGGCATACAGAAGCACGGAGTGGAGGTCTGGCTGGTGGCTCTTCTGCTGGGCTTCTTCCAGCGCCGGGTGCTCCAGCTGCTTCTGCTTGTGTGTCTGCTGCCTCTGCTACTGCTGCTGCGCCTGGTGCCACCGTTGCTGCAGCGGCTGCTGCTGTGGCTGCGTCGATTCAAGCTGCTGCGGCGGTGGCTGCTGCATGCAGCAACTGGGCTGGGCTTCTGGGGAGCGTGGCGGACAGCTTTCCACGGAATGAGCGGGTGGTGGTGGTGCTGCCGCATGCAGGTGAGTTATGATGCACATCGGGGAGTATGTTGAGGTGAGATGAGATGTGACTGTGGGGACCTGGGGTGGGCTGCTAGGGAGTGTGGTGGACAGCGTTCCACGGAATGAGAGGGTGGTGGTGGTGCTTCCTCACGCAGGTGAGTGAGTGAGTGAGTGGGACAGAATGACAAAGCAAGCACACGGTATGAGTGAGTGGGTGGTGATGTGATGCTGCTGGGAGTGTGGCGGACAGCTTTCCCCCCCATGAGAGGGTGGTGGTGGTGGCCCCTCACGCAGGTATGTGAGTGAGAGGGAATGAGAGTGAATTTAGGAAGGCTGGCAAGACGGTATATAAGTGCGTGGGGGATGCTAGGCGTCTGCAGAGTGAGACGGACAGCTTCCCTGCAATGATAGGGGGGTGGGGTATGGCCACTTTTTCCTTCCTTTCTCCCCTCTCTCCTCACTCCACCCTTTAGTGGTGCATGAGCTGGGCGGCATAGGACAAGGAGAAGGGGAGAAGCATGTGTGCTGGTTGAAACGCGTCTAAATTTCTTTTTCCTGCCTTCTCCCCCTTTCCTCACCATGCCCGCCTTGTAATGGTGCCTGAGCTGGATGGCATAAAAGAGGACAAGGAGAGGGTGAAAGGCGCATACACTTTTTTGAGGCGCCTAGAACTTCGTGTTCCCTGTCTCCCCCCTCTCACCCCCCTCCTGCAGTGGTGCGGGAGCTGGATGGCATAAAGGAGGACAAGGAGAGGGCGAGGGGTGTGTATGCCCGGAGAGCCCTGCGCCTGTTGAGGGACGCCCTGACCAGCAGAGCCCCTTGGCTCAGAGCCCAGGGCGCCCACGAGAAGGCTGAAGTGACTGGGAGCAGTAGCGTCGGCAGCAGCAGTGGAGGTAGCGGTGGGGGCGGCCAGAGGCTGTCGGCTGATGATGCGGTGCTCTCTTGCTGCCTCTACTACCACCAGTTTGTTGCTCCTGGCGCTGTGGTGCTGCTTACTGGGGATATTGCGCTGCAAGTCAAGGTGAGGATAGGAACCAAGGCAATAAAATTCCCTGCTTTTCTTTGTAGAATATATTCTGGATGTTTGAAGAAAATTTCCTCCCTTATTTCCATACACAGGCACTTATGGAAGGAGTAACCATGGTTCACAAAGCGTCTGCTTTTGTGGCTGAGCGTGTGGGATTTGCTCTAGCTGCTGCAAAGTGATTGAATCAAGCTTGAAGATGGTACCGGTAACTTATTTTCCAATTGCTTCCATGTTCCACCATGACTAGTTTAGATGGTCTTTAATCGCTTCTTATGGTTGCTACCAGTATTTGTCGCGTTTCGCGAAAAAAAGGTTGCCATTCACTCAATTCTGGAAGCAGTTCTACTAATGTTTGTTACGTTAGGCACTCAGGTTTCCAGTTGGTGAAGTGGTATAGTTTGGAATTAAGATGGAAATGCGTCTGATGTTTATAAGCATTTAAGGTGGAATACATTATGAAACGGCATCCATTTCCGTAACGCGTACGCCTGAAACGCTGGCTTCAGGCTCGAGCCTCGCATGTCACTGCTCAAAGCTCTGATATTTTCTTCCAGTTTGAATTTCCCATTCCTCCTGATGCACTGATCCCATCACTAGCAGAGCCTCAACGAATGTTCGCTTTCGCTGCATTCTCTTTCCATCATCCCGTATGCTCGTTAGGGATTTTACGCAACTTGCAGATGGTGAAGCGAAGGCGTGGAGGTGGATGGGGAGGGCTAGAACGCGTGAGCTCGTTGAAAGATGTACGTACCACTTGAATCCTCGACTCAGTTTTTGTCTTGGAGCGAGGTTTCTGTAGTAACCTTTTCAATGTGAACAGAAATTGCCGCTTCCTCGTCAAGGTCCAATACGGAGCTTTATCTCCTCGCGGAATGTCTCTGGAGTATTAGTCAAGCCCTCGTACAATGTGGATGATGCGAACAAGACAGTTGAACAAGGCACGACGTTCCGATTTCAGAAGCGTAGCTTGGAAAAGCACACGCCATTGCGAATGCCAAAGCCAGCAGGTGTAGGATATTTCACAAGTGCACGTATTTTACCAGCTGTTGCGATGGAGCTTTTTTGTTTATCCTCTGATTGAGTGTTGTATAGTTACGTCGCGCGAGGGATGTTCTTCATTGGACGTCAGGCTCGGGAACAACGAGAACGAAAATAGGTCAGGAGGCCGCGGTTGTGATCAATCTCATATTCACTGTAATACCGTACTAATGATGTAATGCAATGCAGGGTGCATTCGAGAGATAACCAGTGTATCACACCTCGTAAGCCACCTTCTTTTTATCTAAAGCTTCCTGCATTTAATGTTTCTGAGCATATTCTGTGTGACATGCAGAAGTCGTCATCACCATGAAAACCCACACTGCGCTTCCCAGCTCCAAGATTCGTGCTACGGAGAAGCAGCGTAAGTCCAGTTTCTGTTTTCTGCTGTCTGTATACGCTGTCTTCTACTTTTAACTCAGTTTCATGCCAAAGGTCCAAAAGAGGAGGACGAATGGGACTGGAGCTTCGGTTGTGAGAAACCGAAATCACCTGCTGCGGTCGAACTTGGGGACGCAGAGGAAGACGCGATACTGCTGGGTATATTCTTAAGTGATTGCAGATGGCTTGGTTCGAAGCCACCAAACACTTAATGATGGTACAGTTTCCATCCGTTTTCAGGTCACCCTCGCGATTCCAAGTCGCTCTCCTTTTCCCCTGTCAAAGAGCGTTTGATGGCTGTTGTGAAAAGAGTCATGGATCTTGACGCCATCTCAGTTCAAATGGGTGAAAGGTATGTCAGCGCTTATTTATGCAAATTGAGTTCTCCTACTTGCTCATTGAGCATGATCTTGTTGCAGTAAAACAGCAGCTGATGAGCTCTTAAGCAAGCTCAATATCTCGCCTTCTCCAGAACTCATTGCGATGCTTCCATCAGGCGGAAAGGTGAGGCTGCTCATATTAGAGTTTTTGCAGGAGCGTGACTGAGGCAGTGGTGGTTACAGGTTAATAAGGATGTGACTTCAAGCCCAAGACAAGCCATTTGGAATGAACAACCACGGCATACGATTCCTCTTGTGAATGTAGACATGGAGGATTTCGGGGTACATGACTGGCTTTTTGGGTCTGAAGAGGCACACCGGGATGTGTCTGAAGTCATGTTTGGGAGTGTTCGGAGCATTCCTGAAGCAGAAAGCTCCCTTGGAGCTGATGTATTTCTTGGAGGGGAGAGTTTGTCCGAGTATGGAACGTCAATGTTTGCCGAAGGGGATTCGTTCGGCGAAGCATTTCCTGGTAGCAGAACTTCTCCAGAAGCAACGGCCTTGTCTCGAGAGCCTTTTTCTTCAAGTTCCCTCTCTCCAGAACCATTCTCTCCAGGGTCAGGCTCATTAGCTCCATTCTGGAATTACAGCCCTTCAGCAACAGATTTTGATGTAGGTCTTCAGGCGTGCAACAGCAGTCCATCTGTGAGTGGCCTTTTTGACAGTGCTGCTGGTACAAGAGGAAATCCCTTCGAGAGTGCTGACATGAATTGGAAGGGCGATATAGCTGAGGCAGATGAGATAATTTGTGCAAGCGAGTTTGGAGGCCCCAGTTACAGCCCCGCTGATAGCCTTTTTGATACACCCTATTTCATCTCCTGAAATATATACTGTATAGCTTAGTGGATAAACCCATAAGGCCTGGTAAATTTAGGACTTTTTCTTGTATGCTTTCCTGCGCAGTAACTTGGTACGAAACGCTATATACGAGTTACGAGATCCGTTCTTGATGAAGTCTCTTGCCTTGAGGCCATTGTTTTTTCGAGGGAAGTGCCTGTCAGCCTGCCACTGCCTAGGCAACGCCCACCCCCACCTTCGCGACTATCATGGCTCTACGAGGAAAGACCCGCCGACACGTGGTAGCACCAAACTGGCTCTTCTCGCGCATGGCGTGCACCAGCAGCCAATTGCAGCCCGGAGCACGTTCCACCAGAACGTACCACCCATCTCCATCCATCTTTCATCCCATCCATCAACCTCCGCGTCGCCTTTCGCGAATTTCCGCGCCGCCGTGAAATCCTTCACGCAGGAAGGAATGTGTTTCCAAGCACGAGCCGCGGTCCATCAAGCCGTGGGGTACTGTAAATTCAAGCCGTTCCTTTTCCATCGATCAGATCAGGTCGACGTTCTTCCAGCCAAATCACCAGTCTTCTTGCTTCGCGACTCTCCCTAGTCTTCTGATCTCCCTAAATTTCTGCGCAAGAATCTTCGTCTTCGAGTCAACGTTCGAGCCAACATGTCTCAGGAGCAGCCGAGGCGGGAGGAGATGGAGGGGCAGGCCAAGGTACTCTAGTCTACACGTCTCTTCACCGCCTAAACTAACGCTTTTCAGCCGTCTTCTACCTTCCTCCTCAACACGCGTCCATTGAGACATTTACCATACCCTTCCCCCCCCCCCTGTCCCTAACCAATTTCTGCCATACCCTCCCTTTCTGCTCTTCCAGCAGGAGCAGTTTTCAACAGAACCCACGCAGGCAGCAGCAACTGGCGCTCCCGGCTACGCAGGAGGTGGAACAGCTGTCTCTGCACCCGGTTACGCCGGCGGTGGTTACGTGGCAACGGCAACAGGCCCAGGCTTCACCTGCACGGCTCAGGAATTCCCCACTGCAGGGGGAGGTGCGACGGGAGTGGCTGCTGTGACTGATACCGAGGGGAGGACGATTTACTACTCTACCACTATGCAGCCCATGGGTGTGACTGGCCCAGGTGTGACTGAAACGGGTGTGACTGCAACAGGCGTGCCTGCCATGGGGGCTGGTGGTGCCATGGGTGGTGGTTTAGGTGGTGGTACTGCCACTGGTGTGCCGGCTGCAGGTGGGAGTGGGATGGGGGAGATGGGAAAGGGGACGGATACGAGTGCTATGGGGGCTGGGATTGGGGGGGAGAGCCTGGGAACCACTGGGACGGGGGGAGGGGGAACGGCTGGGGGAGATGTGGGGGCAACCGGGGGAGGGGATACTGAGATGATGGGGGGAGAGAGCATAGGCGCAAGGGGGACTGCTGAGCCTACTGTTGGGGAGAAGAGCCCAGCTACTGGTGCTACAGCTGGGGGGGGAATGGTGAGGGATACTGGGAGTGATGTGACTGCTGGGGGTCAAGTGACTTCAGCGGGTGATATCGCCAAGGCGAAGGAGGCTGGTGCTGCTGCTGCTGGAGGGGAGACTGGAGGGGCTGAGACCGGTGGGGAGGGGTTCATGGGGCGAGAGTCCGAGGCCAAGGGTATGGAAGGAGAAGGAGGAATGGGCTCAGCTTAAAAGCTAATGTGGAGATAGAATATCCTGCAACCCGAAGAGGCTTGGATTGGGGGGATAGGTACGGTAGCAGTACAGATTGGGGCGCATTGGCTGCCTTTTACTGGCTTTGAATTGTTCTGTTCTGCTTTCTTTTGTTTGTAAAGGTCCTGTTCTTTTGTTCTTATCCGTGTAAGGCAATGTACAGTACTGTTTTACTGTAATCAGTTTCAAACGTTTTGATAAAGTCATATTCTTTTTTTGCTTGTACTGTAGTTGGCATATTGATTGGAATAGACTCACTAACCAAGCCTCCATCCGCAATCTTGTAAACAGAACATACAGAACCACACACAGCAATTTTCCAAATCACTCAATGCACTCTAATTGAAATAACTTTTCTGTGCAGCGTCAAATTACACACACACACACACACACACACACACACACACACACACACACACACACACACACACACACACACACACACACACACACACACACACACACACACACACACACACACACACAAAAAACCCATGACCACCATTACAGATACTGACACACAGTATCAAACCGGTTCATACCTAACCAATCATGTCATGCCATATCATCATCTTGCAGCTGCACATGCCTTGATGAGAGCCTCTGCACTCGAAACCTGGCACAGAGGATGGGTGGAGTATGGATGGGGAATGCATAAAGAATCAGATTGCCTCACACCTAACCAATCATGCCACGCCAGATCATCATCTCGCAACAGCACATGCCTTGATGAGGGCCTCTGCACTGGACACGTGGCAGAGAGGATGCGTGGAGAATGGATGGGGGATGCATAGAAAATTACATAAAAGGATTTAACCGAGGCAACTGAACACAACACCGCACATGGGATGGGACATGGGATAAAGACGTTTCATCATAAAGACTACTCATCAAAAAGACTTATCCCAAAAACTTGTATGTGGCTTCAAGCCTACCTGAGTTGGGTTGCCAGAAATCTTGACAATTCTGTCCGTGCTGCCTGCTTCCGGGGGCTGGATCTGCCATTGCGGACAAAGGAAAAGAAGAAGAAGAAAGCAAAAAAAAAAAAAAAAAAAAAAAAAGATTAAAACAAACAAGGCTTAGTCAGAGCCTGAAGCGTTCTCGACAGTTGGATTGGATTATTATTGAACCGATTGGATATTATTGAACCCACCTTAAGCCTATTCTCTCTTCGTGATTCTACCTTCTAAAGTTTGATACGTCACTTATACCTGCGCAGCCGCAAACCGGTTCATACCTAACCAATCGTTCTTGATTGATTGTGATCCCGGCCTTTCCCACTTACACAAACCCTTCCCCAACCCCCTCCCCCTTTCCTCAACATGCATGCCACACAATAGAATCTCATGACCTTACCTTGATGTTAGCACCAGACATCTGCCGAATGTTCTTGATCGTGTTCCCACCCTTCCCTAGCACCGCCCCTATCGCCTGCCCCGGCAACCGAAGCTCAATCCGAGCCTGCTCCTGGCCCTGGCCGTGACCATGAGGCTCGGATGCTTCGGTTTTGACAAAAGGACGATCCTGCACCCTCCTCCGCTCTGCATGGGTTGAATAAATGGACAGGAAATAGGGAAAAGCGAATCTCAGCGAATCTCAGGAATGTGAAAACAGAGATGGCAAAAAGGTAATGTGATGATCCTCCACCCCTCTCCTTTGTTCTGATTCGTGCGAACGAAGGAATGCGGAATGGGAAGGATAACCTATGTTTTCGACTGGTTTCCTGCTTTGCCCAGGAATGTGAAAGCGGAGATGGCAAAGTGGTGGTGGGAAGATCAAGAACCCACGTTTGGCGAAAGGGGTGAATGAAGGGAAATTGGGATCATGGAGGAACAGTAGAATGGTAGTTATAGAGTGGTGCATTTGCAGACTTCTCGAATGCAGTGGCAGCGGCAGTGGCACGGGAACTCACTTGAAGGATCGTCAAAACCAGCACCAGGCGAAGGCTGGTAACCAGACGACGTAGGGTAACCAGATGGAGGGTGGTAACCAGACGCATCAACGTAACCAGCACCAGCACCACCAGCAGCAACAGAAGCAGAAGAGAAGGTAGTATGACCCATTGGGGATGATGAGAAACCACTCAGAGAGCCACCACCAGCAGCACCACTCCCCATTCCCCCTCCCCCTATCCCCCCTCCCCCTGATCCCCCTGCTGCTCCCTGATAGCTTGCCAGTACCGCACTCAACCCTCCTCCAATCCCCCCCAACCCCCCAACACCACCCTGGGATCCCATCCCCAGGCCCCAACTCAGGTCTCCTGCCGCTGCTGTTGCCCCTCCCATCCCCCTTCCCCCCAGTCCTCCCCCCAACCCTCCCCCAAAGCTACTCCCCAGATCCGTCCCCAAACTTCCTCCCAAGCCTGCACCCACGTATCCCGAACCTAGCGCTCCCGAGCCTAGGCTGCTCCCTCCCAACCCCAGCCCAGCGTCGTACATCCCCGCTCCTGCCGAACCATACGCAGACGGCATTCCCAAGCCTCCCACCGGACCTCCTGGCGAGCCATAACCTCCTGCCAAACCGGATCCCAAGCCTGCAATCCCCGAACCTGGGTACCCGCCAGCTCCCGAAGCTCCCCCTCTCCCCCCCCTTCCTACTTCCCTCCCCGCTTGACCACCAAAACCAACTCCTGCTGCCACCACTGCTGCTTGCTGTGCTGCTGCTGCTGCAGCGGCGGCAGCATAGGGGGTTATGGTGGCACGCGCTGCTGCCACTGAGCCTGCTGTTTCCATCTCCTCTAGCGACTCTTGAGGGGGATTGGCTCTGCGGACAGTTAGGGAGAGACACAGACAGGCAAAGAGAGAGACAAGCAGACAGAGAGCACATATGGGTTTTGAGGCGAATACAGCATGCATAGGGGGTTATGGTTGCGCGCGCTGCTGCCACTGAGCCTGCTGTCTCCATTTCTTCTAATGGCTCTTGAGGGGGGTTGGCCCTGACGATAGACAGAGAGACAATGAGAAAGGCAGACAGAGAGACACACATAGAGGCAGAGAGGGAGAAGGAACAAGCACAGATGGGCTTTGAAGCGGAATGGCACGCAGCAGCGGCAGCTGCATAGGGGGTGATGGTGGCGCGTGCTGCTGCCACTGACCCTGCTGTCTCCATCTGCTCTAGAGATTCCTGTGGGGGGTTGGCCCCGAGGACGGACGGGGACAGAGCTATGTGACGGAAGACGCGTCTAGCGTCTTAGACGGTTGCGTCTAGACGCAGCGTCTAAGACGCTAGACGCATTTTCGCCTAGGTTAGACGCAGATTAGACGGAAACCCGGGAAGGCCCTAAAAAAAAAGTTCGGGCAGCCTAAAAAAACTTCTCAGGACCATGGGGAGGGTGGGGTACATGCATATATAGCACATTTGGGTCAAATTTCCGCCATACCAAAACTTGGAACCATGCGCGGAACTACCCTCCTTGGAAACATGCGCGGAACTTGCCTTCCCCACGGCATCGTCATGCGAGGAGGAGGCGGAACTAGAAGAACTAGGAGAAGACATGGCTTCAAGAGGTAAGTAGCTCTAAAACCTAGAGGGTTTTTGAAAGAGAATTGGCTAGAAATGAAAGATGGGAAGCACAAATGGGGAATTTGTGCTTCCCAAGCCCTTGCTGGTTTGCCATTAAGGGTTGGGTTTCCTAGATGCTTTGCGGTTGAGAGGGGTTTGTGTTTTCAATTTTGGTTGAGGAAATTTCAATTTTGCTTGGGGGGCTTGAATCTAAGGTCGAAATGGGTGGGGGGGGGTGCAAATGACGCGAAATTGAATTTCGCATCAAAATCGCGAAATTCAATTTCGCCCGCGGAATTTTTTTTTTCGGGCTGCCCGAAAAATTTTCCCCCAAGCGTCTAGCGTCTTCCGTCACATAGGGACAGAGAGGCAGAGAGGCAGAGAGGCAGAGAGGCAGAGAGGAAGTCACAGAAGCAAGGTGGTGCTGCTGCAGCGGCAGAATGCAGGTAGGTAGATGTATGCAAGCATATGCTACGTGTAAGGACAAGCGTTGGTCATGCTATGAGCACATTTGGCATTGCTTTCAATGCCTTCACAAAGAGCACAAGAGGAACTCACTTGAGCACGTTCGCAAACTTTTGAGCCCACTCAAAAGTCTGCTTTCACTGCCTTCACACAAATAGCTGAAGAGAAACTCACTTGAGCACATTGGCAATTGCCTTGAGTGCTGCCTCCAGCTTCGGGGCTGTTGCAGTGATCTGATGCGGTGGAGTGGGTTGGGGCGGGGCCGGATGGGGTGGGGTGGGGTGCGGTGGGGGTAAGGTACAGCGGCAGGGCGACAGGGCACGCCCCTCTGCAATGCGCACAAACGTCCTGCTGGACTTGCAGATGCCCTTCATCCCACTGCCCCTCCCACCCACGACACCTGCTGCTATCAGTTGAAGTCACAACATCCCCACCCCCCTCCCCTCTCCCCATACCAACCGCACACCAACCCCCTCCCCTCTCCACTCCACCCCACACCAACCCTTGCAGACCTGTACTAGCCAATCTGCTGGTAGTGCAAAAGGAGACGCCGCCCCCTCAGCAATGCGCACAAATGCTCCGCTGGACTCGCGAATGTCCTTTATCACCCGGCCTCCTCTGTTTCCTTGACCCCCCTGCCCCACCCCACTCTGCCCCACCCCACCCCACCCCACCTCACCCCACCCCCCTTGCTCACCTGTACAAGCCTATCTGCTGGTAGGGCAAAAGGCGAGGCAGGTCCCTCTGTGATGCGCACAAACGCCCCGCTGGACTCGCGAATGTCCTTTATCACCCTACCCATCCCACCGCACTCCACCCCATCCCGCCACACCCCACCTGCACGAGCCTGTCTGCTGGCAGTGCAAACGGCGAGGCAGGTCCCTCTGTGATGCGCACAAACGCCCCGCTGGACTCGCGAATGTCTTTGATCACGCGGCCTCCCTTCCCAATCAGAGCGCCCGACTGTGACGCCGGCACCAGCAGGTTCAGAACCGACCGGCTCGACTCGTCTCCCCTCTGCTGCTGCTGCTGGCGGTTCTGGTTGGGATGGGGACTCTCCTGCTTGGGGGAAAGGGATAGGTGGGCGGGAGTGAGTGTTGGGTTGGACTCGCGAATGTCTTTGATCACGCGGCCTCCCTTCCCAATCAGGGCGCCCGACTGTGACGCCGGCACCAGCAGGTTCAGAACCGACCGGCTCGACTCGTCTGCCCTGTGCTGCTGCTGGCGGTTCTGGTTGGGATGAGGACCGTCCTGCGTAGAACAGAGGGATAGGGGCGGGGAATGAGTGTTGGGTTGGACTCGCGGATGTCTTTGATCACGCGGCCTCCCTTGCCAATCAGAGCGCCCGACTGCGACGCCGGCACCAGCAGGTTCAGGACCGACCGGCTTGATTCGTCCGCCCTCTGCTGCTGCTGCTGCTGCTGCTTGGGAAGAGGGAGAGAGGGAAGGGCGAAGACACAGTGGGACTTGCAGATGTCTTTGATCACGCGGCCCCCCTTTCCAATCAGAGCGCCTGACTGTGATGCCGGCACCAGCAGGTTTAAGACTGACCGGCTCGACTCATCCGCCCTCTGCTGCTGCTGCTGGCGGTTCTGGTTGGGGTGAGGACCGTCCTGCTTGGGGGAAGAGGGGAGTGGGAGGAGAGGGAAAGCCACAATGGGACTTGCAGATGTCTTTGATCACGCGGCCTCCCTTTCCAATCAGAGCGCCTGACTGTGATGCCGGCACCAGCAGGTTTAAGACTGACCGGCTTGGATCGTCCGCCCTCTGCTGCTGCTGGCGGTCTGAGTGGAGAAAAACGCATCTGAAGCGTTGCGTTCTGCGTTTGAACGCTTGCGTTTGAACGCAAAACGCTGAACGCACAGAAAAACGGAGAACGCTTGGGAAACTTTTTTTTTCCGGTCAGCCCGAACGTCGTTTTTGCCAAAAATCAACCCCTCCCAACCCAAATCGACCCCTGAAAACCAGCCTTTCGACCAAAATCCCAATCCTCCCCTAATATTGTGGGAAAGAATATTATGTGGGGGATAAAAAATGCTCAAATCTGTGCTATGTCCTTCTCCCCCTCCTCCCAATGCCCTATTAGAAGTTTTTTTGTCTGCCCAGAAGATTTTTTACCCTGCCCGGCCCTGCGCTTTTTTAGCGTTTTCAGGACCCCCAAAAATGCGTTCTGCGTTTTAAACGCAGCGTTCAAACGCCAGCGTTTAAAACGCTGAACGCGTTTTTCTCCACACAGCTGGCAGTTGTGGTTGGGGTGAGGACCGTCCTGCTTGGGAAAGTCACAGTGAGGAGAGTACAACAAAGCACCAGCAGGTTCAGGACAGACCGGCTCGACTTGTCTCCCCTCTGCTGCTGCTCCTGGCGGTTGTGGTTGGGATGAGGACCGTCCTGCTTTGGGGGAGAAGGAGGGGGGCGGAAGGAGGAGGGGGACAACAGGGCATCATCTGGACTCGCGGATGTCTTTGATCACGCGGCCTCCCTTCCCAATCAGAGCGCCCGACTGCGACGCCGGCACCAGCAGGTTCAGGACTCACCGGCTCGACTCGTCTGCCCTCTGCTGCTGGTGCTGGCGGTTCTGGTTGGGATGACGCCCTTCCTGTTTGGAGGAGAAGTATGGGGGGGTAACAACAGAGCGCCCGACTGTGACGCCGGCACCAGCAGGTTCAGGACTGACCGGCTCGAATCATCCGCCCTCTGCTGTTGACGGTTCTGGTTGGGGTGAGGACCGTCCTGCTTGGTAAAAGAGGGGAGAGGGAGAGGTGAATTCACAGGGAAGAGGGTTGGAGAGGCACTAGCAAGTTCGGAAGCAACCAACTCGACTCGTCTCCCCTCTGCTGCTGCAGCTTGCTGGCAGTTCGGATTGGGGTGATGACCGTCCTGCTTGGGGGGAGGAGAGGGGCGGAACAAGAGGGCGTCCGATTGTGAGGTTCAGGTTCAGCCCGGCAGGTCACCAGCAGGTGCTGGAGAGGGGTCCGGCAATTGGTTACCAGCTGCTACCTCATTTCACTGTTCTTTTCCATATGCAGGGGCAGCAGTGCAGCAGGGAACATGGAAAAGAGAGTAGTCTCTGCTGGCGAGGGGTCCGACAAGGAGGAGGAGGGAGGTGAGAAGATGCCGAGCTGCTCGTAGCTTCTGTTTCATCTTAATCTTTACAAAGCATAGCCGGGGCTGCCTGCAGCGCAACCAGGAACGTACCTGGGGCAGCAATGCAGCAGGGAACATGGCAAAGAGAGCAGTCTCCGCTGGTGATGGGTCTGCTGAGGAGGACGGCGGCGAGGAGATGACCAGCAGCCGCTCCTCTGATGGCTGGTGTAGGGAGGGGCCGGGGGGAAAGGGAAGAGGAAGGAAAGTTGAAGGGCATGGTTCAGGCATGCTCAATAGAATCGAGAGGAAAGGAGGAGGAGAGAGGTGAGGAGATGACTAACAGACGCTCCTCTGATGGCTGGTGGGGGGAGGGGAGAGGGGGATATTGGAGAAAACGGAGAGGGAGGGACGGGAGAGAAAGGACTGGACCAAGGAGTGTGTTATGAAGGTGCCTTCAACACGAGGAGATGATGATCGGGGCTTGATCTGGCTTCCCTGCCTGCTTGCGTGTGAGTCGACTTTTGAGGCGCCTCAAAAGTCAGCTTTGCTTGCGTCTTAGTGCGTGCTTACAATGGTAGGAGGCACTGAGCAGATTCGAATTCTGGCCCCCGTGCTCTCCCCCATCTGCTTGATCTTGCTGCCCTGCTTGCTTGATTGCGAGTGGACTCAACCATGCGTGTGAGTCAAGTCGACTCAACAGTGTGTGGTGTGGTGCTTGCTTACAATGGTGAGAGGCACGGAGCGCATGCGAATCCTTGCCCCTTCACTCTCCCTCATTTGTGTGATGCTACCTTGCTTGCCAGTCATTCAACCGAACAATGTGTGGGACTCGACTCAAAAGAGGATGTGAGTCGACTCAACATAGCGTGCATGCTTACTATGGTAGGGGGCACGGAGCACATGCAAATCCTCGCTCCTGTACTCTCCCTCATCTGCTTTATCTTGCTGCCTTGCTTGCTTGCTTGTGAGCCGACTCAACATTGCGTGCTTACAATGGTAGGGGGCACGGAGCACATGCGAATACTTGCTCCCGCGCTCTCGCTCATTTGCTTTATCTTGCTGCCTTGCTTGTAAGTCGTAATATTAGTGCGTGCGTGTGAGCCGAGTTGACTCATTGGCACGTGCTTACAATGGTAGGGGGCACGGAGCACATGCGAATCCTCGCCCCCGTGCTCTCCCGCATCTGCTTGATCTTGCTTCCCTGCTTGCTTGTATGATTGCGTGTCGGCCTCAACACTGCATGTGAATTGACTCATCACATGTGAAATGATTCAACAAACAGTGCGTGCTTACGATGGTAGGGGGCACGGAGCACATGCGAATCCTCGCCCCTGTGCTGTCCCTCATCTGCTTGATCTTGCTGCCTTGCTTGCCGATCATCCCGCCGGCCCGACTCTCATGCACCAGGAGGCGGAACACCACTGGAGCACAGAAGAGAGGGGGAGATGGGCAGGGGGAGAGTGTGAGAGGGAGAGAGGGAGCAACAAGCGGAAAGAGGAAACTGCGTGGGGATGTAGGAAGGGGATCTCCCCCCTGCTTGCCAATCACCCTGCCAGGCCGACACTCATGCACCAGGAGGCGAAACACCACTGGAGAGAGGGGAGCATAAGGGGGAAGAGATGAGATTGGAGAAAGGAAAGCACAGGCGGAGATAGGCGAGGCGAAGGAGGGGGGGATGGGACATCCCTCATCCTCTCTTGTTTCTGATCCTCTTGGTTTTTTTTTTCAAGGGTGAGGACACTGCATTGTATGCAAGGCGGTCGATGTACTAATGGTAAAGGAGAAGGGCTGAGATAAGGGAAAACAATTCAGGTGAGGGGGAGAAGGGGGGAGTAGGTGAGGGGGAGAGTGACAAGCGCATAGAGGAACGGAGGAAGAAAGCAGTTTTAACTTTTGAGACGTCTCAAAAGACGGGGGAAGAAAGCAGTTCTAGACCGTAGAAGCATTTCAAGGAGTGAGAAGGAAGGAGCAAGGAATGGGAAGGGGAGGGGATGGCAAGGGGAAGAGACGAAACAAGGGGAGGGCGAGGGGAAAAGGGGCAAAGTGGGTGAAGAGTTGGGGGGAGGGGGACCAAGGGGAGTGGGGGAAACAGGGGGGGAGGAAAGGGAGGGGTTTGGGTGAAAGGATCACACGTGGCGGAGGAATTTCAGAGGGGATGGCAGCGTTGAGGAGGGGATGGGGGAGGGGAAGGGGTAGGAGCTGGAGCAAGGGACAGGGAAGGCTGGCTAGTGAATGTGGCCTCTTCTTAGAAATATACCTCCAAGGAAAGACACATCCCTCCACTCCACTCCTCCCTTTTCTTGCACACACACCCACTCACTCAGTCACTCGCACACACAAACCCACGTTCACTCTCTCACACGCACCACAACCACACACATGCTTCATCACTCACACACACACACACACACTCTCAAATTCACATACTCTCTCACGGACGCACACAATCTCTCAAACTCACACACACCAGTATTCTGCGAGCCACTGAACTCCTGTGTATTTGCAATGTCGGGAACCCGGGGGCAGGACGGGAACCGGGGCGGGGGTACGGGGCAGGAGGAATTCCCGGCGTGTTCGGGGTGTGGCGTGATACCGGGACAGGGAAGGAACGTGGCGAGTTCGGGGTGTAGGGTGTGGGGCGTGCGGTGGAGTGAAATGCATGGACGCCGGTGCAAAGATGCGAGCGGGGGAGGGAGGGAGGGACCCGTTGAGGGGAGCACGGCGGAATGAAGGGAGGCAGGCAGGAAGGAGCACAGCATCCCCAAGAGAGATGCACGAGGGATTGGCCGCGTGATGGCCGGAGGAGGGGGAGAGAAGGGGGAGGTGGGGGACGGGGAGGGGGAGGGGTGATGGCGGAGGGGAAGACGGGGAAGGGAAGAGGTGGAGGGGGAGGGGGAGGGGCGGAGATGGGGAGGGGAAGAAGGGAGGGGAAGAGGTGGGGGGGGGGGGGGGGGGGGGGGGGGGGGGGGGGATGGGGAGGGAAAGAGGGGGAGGGGGAGGGCGTGGGGGGAGGGGACGAGGTGGATGTCCGGACAAGGGACATGCGGGTGGGGGGGGACAAGAAGGGGCAGGGGGGTAGGGGGAGGGAAGGGAACGGGGAACACAGGGTGAAAACGAGCGAGGGGAGGGGTGGAGAGAGGAAAGGGAAGGGAGAACGAGGGATGGGGGATATAAATTGGGAATAGGGAGGGGGAATGGGGACAGAAAGTGGAGACGGAGGATTGCGGACAGGGGACAGGGGACGGGGATACGGGAAGGAAACTGAGAGTTGCGGCTTGAAATATGGAGGAAGCAGGAGTTGGGATTAATTTTCACGAGTACCGCAATAGGGGGGAGCACGGGATGAAAGGGGAGTGTGAGCGAAGAATAGGAGGGTTAGGCGGGTCTTAGAGGAAAAAGTAGGGACGGTATGGAGGTTTTGATAGAAAACGTAGGGATGGGGCGAGACGATAACAATCACGACTGACTGGATTTGGGGCTAAGGTTTCCGCATTACTCTAAGGGGTGAAATATTGAGAGCAAGGGACAACGGCAGGATGCGGTTGCGGGAAATGCTGTAATGTAACACCAAGGAGGGGATGTATTACATTCTTAGGCAATGTAACTGGTCACGAACGGTTGTCAATCATTCCCCATATTCTCCTTACAGACATTCAATCCAGGACTTAGGCAGATCTATCGCCATCTGCGGATGCGTACGAAAACCACCAACATTCTGTAGCTACGACTGAGACTGCGACTGCGACTGCGACTGCGACTGCGACAGAGACTTCGATTGCGATAGTGCGATTGCGTGCGTACCTCCATGTGCCGCTTTCGGTGACGGTGATCGTCGCTTGTACTCGCCATGTTAGGGTTTCGCGACACTAAAGAACAACTAAGATGAAATCGACCGAACCGAACGCTAATCAAGTGCTTCGACTTCCAAAATGCTGAGCAACGAGAGGAAAAGAATCGCGGGGGAACGATATGGAGGAAAGTTTAGGAGCTAAGGATAGGATACTATGGCTGGCATTGCAGGTGGCAGCAAGCATAACGACACGAGTCACGAACGGGATGAAATGCAGTCTAAGTCGGAACTACAGAATGACCTATGACATGTCAGAAAAGAGGGTGAAATAGGCACGAACGAGCTAGGCGAGGACCTCGGGCTTGACGAGGCTCGGGGGGCGTATGGCGAGGCGGCGCCTCGGAAGTGGTTCGGGGCGAAACCGTAGGCCAAAGCCACTGACAGGAGACACTTGGAATGCCCCTGATATTACCAGCCTACAGTAATGAATTACAATTCATAACAATGACGAAGACATGAAACTGGAAGCCCATGTTTCTTATTTTTGGAGGGATAGAGATGCAGCCGTCTCTGGGTAGCTGCAATAAGGCGTTTTTTTTAGTAGCAAAATCATGTAGCAAAACTAGGAGCATAAGGATTCTTCTTGGTACCTCCAATTTTTGCTCCCCCCACCTTCTTGATGGAATTTTTCTGAATATCAAACCAGGAAGTTTAACAAGTGCTAGAATATAAACCACCAACGTTTCGCCTTGTTAGAAACATTAGGCTGATTCATATATGCAAACAGCTAGATACTCTCCATTTTCAGTTTATAACTGTACTTATACGACTTATAGCATCACCAGTCGCTTCGTTTTCCTGAGGGTTTCGTTTCGTCAAGCAGACGCTGTGCAGTGCGCGGAAAACGCGCAACCGCGCAACCGGAAACCCCAACAGAAGTCCACTTGATGGGGAGTGGCGGATTTTGTAATGCGCCCAATGGCTCGGCGCAGTCAACTTCCAGGCTCTGCTGTGGTTCGGTTGGTGGTGGTGCCCCAAACGATAGGTTTGGCGGAGGGGTGTAACCAGCGGAGGCGGAGACTCGAGATTACTGTTGCGCGCGAGTTGTGGATCTGGTGTCGTCAGAAAGACGCGACGAGGGTTTCAAGCAAGCAGGACTGAGTTACAGCAAGCTTCTTGATGGTAGCCATGGCTGATGGGCATACGAACTCGAATTCTTTTAGCTCGCATCACTCGAGGTTTTTTTTTGTGTGAGACGGAGAATGTGAAGGTGGTCGGCCAGTTGAATGCATTCTCGCCTTTTTTCGCCGTTTAGTGCGCTAAAATAGACCCGTTAAACCGGGTCTAATTCCCGCGCCAGTCTTTATCTATTTCGAGTTTTACCTGGTGTTTTTCGCTGGTTACACCGATACAGCTGGTTTCGCTAAAAGGTATAAATGGGATCGTCACAGCCGTTTTTCGATTGGGCTGGATTCCCAGCCGGGGTGCGCTTCGAGCCGACAGATGTACAGTTATTGGATCATCTCTTAGCGAAGCTTGACGAGGAGCATGCTAGTATAGACGACGAGGAACAGTCTTTAAAGCCCGGCGTTAAGAGGCAAGCTAGCCGAGGAAAAGAGAACATTGCAGGGGGTGTCGGTAGCAAGCCACGTGTCCACAAGCCGCGCCGGCAGCAGCACCCGCGAGTGGGGGAGTTTATTCCGACGCTGGGATTCGAAGACGGGATCTGCAGCGTTTATCCCGAGGATCTGCCTGGTATGTCGGTCGGACTGCAGTGACGGCTCGACCTGAATTCGTCTGGCACTTATATTGCGCTGTTATTGTTAGATTTCGTCAAGATCGCTCCTCGCTGGCGTATTGCTTCGCTGCTGCCCTATCTAGACACTGTTTACGTCGTTACGTTGCAGCAAGACATTGCTTACATCGGGTTAAGATTTTACTCTTCTCAATCTTGACCAACAGGAAGCCAAATCCGCGGTCATCTCCTTTTCTTTTCCACAATCATGATCATTCGCTACCCTCGTTTTAACGTGTCGCCTTTACTCGTCGCCTCTACTCGCCTCTACTCGCCTCGTCACCAACGCACTCTCTTCTCGTCGCGTCATCAGCACATTCCTTTCATCCCTTCCTTATTCTGCTCTCTCCCCGTGCAGGCATTGTCACGGACGGCACCACGCGGCACTACTTCCACCGACCCTCGCGCGCGTATGCTATGGGGCTGCGCAAGCGGCGCAAAATCTTCTCTGATCGCCCCTCCGCTGCCACTCTGCCGCCCGGCACTGTTGGGGGTGCGGATGCAGGGCGGGAGGAGTGCGGGTACAGGTGGCACAAGACAGGGAAGACCCGCCCCGTGTTTGCTCGGAACAGGAAGCAGGTATGGTTTTTGTTGAGGGCTTCCTCACAAGTTTTCGTTGATCGGCCGTCCGTCTGCCACACTGTGTGCAGGAACAAACGTGGGCGCAGGGCAGGAGTGTGGGTACAGTTGGCACAAGACGGGTAAAGACTCGCTCCATGTTTGCTCGAAACAGGAAGCATGTATGGGATTTTCTGAGGCACAAGGCTTGCTTTCCCCGCTGGTCTTTCCGCCTCTCTCACACACTGAATTAGGCTGGATGGAAGTAAGAAGGTTGCTCGGTCGTCCCAAGCTCTCTGTTTCTTCTTCCTCCGTTCACTTCACCTCCCCTCCAACCAGCCCTCCGCCCCTCCTTTTTACACCGCGGATTGGGTGGAAGAAATCCCAGTGCTGTATGAGACGCGGGCGCAGAGCGGCAAGAGGCGGGGAGCAGAGGGCCAAGAGGGTTCTCAGCCGCCTCAAAGAACCCTCTTTGACGGCCAAGAGGGCCAAGAGGGCTCATTTCTTTTGTCCTCCGCGTCCCCGCCCCACTTTTCCCCCTTCGGATCGGGTGGAAGAAGATTTGGGTTCTGTATGAGAAGCGGACGCTGAGGAGCAAGAGGGTTGCTGAGCCGCTTATATGAATTTCCTTCCTTTCTTTCTCCCTTCCCCTCGTCCCCCGACCCCTCCCCCCCTGGATTAGATTGGGTAGAAGAAGATTCTGGTGCTGTAGGGGCAAGAAGCGGGAGGAGAGGGGGTAAGGGGTTTATTGCTGCCTCATATGACCATCCCTGCTTCTTTCTTCCCTCCCCCTCTTCTAACCCCTCAGATCGGGTGGAAGAAGATTCTGGTGCTGTATGAGACGCGCGCGCAGAGGGGCAAGAAACGGGGGGCGGACGAGCGGAGCAGCCCTGCAGGGGGCAGCGGGAAGGACAGGAAGACGAACTGGATCATGCACCAATACCACGTGGGGGAGCAAGGCGAGGAGAAGGAAGGGGAGTGGGTCGTCTCGAAGGTGTTTTACCAGGTAAGGGGGTCTCTCAGGGTCCTTGCGCAGTCTTACCTCGAAAGCCCTGCTGCAGGGAGGTCCATGGTGGGAAGGGAAGGACAGGAAGACGAACTGGATCATGCACCAATACCACGTGGGGGAGCAAGGCGAGGAGAAGGAGGGCGAGTGGGTGGTCTCGAAGGTGTTCTACCAGGTAAGGGGGTTTGTCAGGTCAGAGTGCCGTTACAGTGTTGCTTGAAAAACAGTGCAGAGTGGCTGGATGGTTGGATGGTGGGATGGAAAGGACAGGAAGGCCGATTGGATCATGCAGCAGTACCACGTGGGAGAGCAGGGCGAGGAGAAGGAAGGGGAGTGGGTGGTTTCCAAGGTGTTTTACCAGGTAAGGGGGTCTCTCAGGGCGCTGATACAGTGTTGCTTGTATGGAAAGACCTGCAGGGGGCAGCGGGAAGGACAGGAAGGCCGATTGGATCATGCAGCAGTACCACGTGGGGGAATAGGGCGAGGAGAAGGAAGGGGGAATGGGTGGTCTTGAAAGTGTTTTACCATGAAAGAAACCTGTTACTTTGATGCCAAATGGCTGTGTATTACCAGCAAAAATCGTACCCTAACTCTTTGCCTGACCCCGTGTTCTGCACTTATTCCTCCCTTTTCCCAATCTGCAGATCCAGCAGAGGCAGAGTTCAGGCACGCGAGCAAGCAGCAGGGAGGGGTCTCTGCCCCCTTGCACTGGCCAAGGGGCAGACAAGGAATGCGATGGCAAGGGAATTGGGTTAAAACCTCTCTGACATGCCGTTATACATTCTGTTCTGCACCTCTCGACTCCTCTCCATTCCTCCCCCCTCTACCATCCTATCCCCGATTTGCAGATCCAGCAGAGGCAGAGTTCAGGCACACGAGCAGGCAGCAGGGAGGGGTCTCTGCCGCCCCTTGGCCAAGGGGCAGACGAGGAGTGCGAGGGGGAGGGGAGGGAGGACATTGAAGCAATTGGAGAAGGGGAGGGTGCAGGGGGAGAGGAGGAGGAAGGGGAGGAGGAAGAGGTAGTGGATGATATTGAGGATGTTAATGACGAGGATGGGGATGGGGATGGGGGTATGGTAGGGACGCCTAGAGCAACGGTGGCAGGGAGAGGAGGAGGGTTGGTGTCAGGGGCAGGAGGAGGTGCCTTTGTAGCGGCAGGAGGCTCGGTGGTAACAGCAGGAGGTTCGGCTGTGGCGGCTGGACGGAGAGGAAGGGGAGGGCGGGGAGGCAGGGGAGTGAGTCAGGGTGGTCGGGGGGGTTCTTCTAGAGGGGGTAGGGCAGCAAAGGGAGGAGTGCTGGCAACGAGGAGTGCGTTTCAAGGTGCGTTTCAAGCATCACAACCATCACAGCCATCACCCACGTCAGCCCCTGCTGCCTCTTTTGGTCCGCCGTTCCTCCCACCAGGGCACCACTACCCACCACCCTCCCTCGCTGCAGCTTCTCCTGTCTCCACAGCAGCAGGTGCTGCCTCAGGTGCTATTTCAGGTGCTTTATCAGGTGCTGATCTGATGAATGCAGCAGAAGCAGCGCCAGCAGGGGCAGCAGGTGCACTAGCAGGGCCTGCTCGGCTGCTCTCCTTCCACAGCCAAGCACCCCCTTGTGGGGTCCAGGATGGGGCTTTATTAGGCACAGCAGGACCACCAAACACTGGCGTTCCTGGTGTAGGATTCACCCCTTTCAGTAGGAAAGGTGGTGCTGCTGCTGGTGCTGGTGCTGGTGCTGCTGCTGGTGCTGGTGGTTCTGTTCGTGCTAGTACTGGTGGTGCAACAGCAGGCGAAATCACCAGCATCACCAGCAACAGCAACGGCAGTGGGCATGGCAGTGCCAGTGCCGGGGCAATGTTCCTTTCTCCTCCTCCTAACACTCAGAGACGGGTGGGGCTCGGCGGTTTCAAACCCCTTGACACCAATCCTGCTGCTGCTGGCGCTGCTGCTGCTGCTGCTGCTGATGATGATGGCGGCTGTGCTGCTGAGCCTGTCACTCCAAGCAGCACAGCCATGCCTGTCCCCATCACGCCCCCCTCGGCACACTCTGCTTCGGGTCTTGTGGCGTTGAAACCGCCTGGCTGGGGTGGAGAAGCAGGGAGGTTAGTCCCATGCCAATTGCAGCAGCAGCAGCAGCAGCAGCAGCAGCAGCAGCAGCAGGAGGAGGAGCAGGAGCAGGAGCAGGCTAACCGCACTGAAGCTGCTACAGCACCTACAGCCGGCACAGGAGTGGGCAGTGCAGGAGCAGGCGTGAGTGACTTGAGGGCGTATGAACAGTCACTGGGGGACAGTGCCTCAGACATTGGCTCTCACCCCCACTCACAGGAGGTGAGTATTGTTCTCACACTTGTGTTTTTGCCGTTTTCCTCCTCCCGTGTTTCCTTACCCGTTCCTCTCAAACTCGTCTTTGAGTTTCGCCTCTTTTTTTTCTCCTCTCTCGTCTCTCCTTTCCCCCATCAGCCTCTTTTTCTTCCCCCTCAGGCGTCAGTGCAAACGATTCCCCCCATGCGTGCTGCTGCTACTGCCAGTCTGCCTGTTACTGCTCTGAGGTCATACCTGGCTCAGAGGCAGCAGCGGGAGCGGGGGGGAGGGCCCCAACAGCTTAATGAGACAGGGGATTACTTGCAGCAGCAGCAACAGCAGCACCAGCAGCAGCAGCAGCAGCAACAGCTATCATTATCAGCAGCAGCAGCCGCATCAGCAGCCACATCAGCAGCCACATCAGCAGCAGCAGACTGGGGGAGGAGAACAACAAAGACAGGCAGAAGCACATCAGCAGCAGCCGCCACTGTTGCAGCAGCCGCAACAGCAGGCACAGCAGCAGCAACAGGCAGGGCAATCCAGAGAGAACGGGATGCTGATTGAGGCTGGGGAAAGGACGACCGGGGGGCTTCTGGGGGATGTAGATGCAGGGCAGGTGCATGGCAATGGGCTGGGGCAGGTGCATGGGATGGGGGATGGGCAGATGCATGTTATGGGGTCTGGGCAGGTGCAGGTGATGGGATCCCAGGAGGAGAATGGGGCGGCAGGGAAGTGGGTGACAGGCAGCGAGGCAATGACTTTGGAGGAAGCCACGCAGAGGCACCGAGAGGGGCTTCGGGAAGGGGAGGCCCAGCTGCAACAACAGCAGCAGCACTTCCAGCAGCAGCTACAGCAGCAACAGCGGGAGCCGCATTTTCACCAACAGCAGCATGAGAACCAACAGCAGCAAGCATCGGTTGCAACAGCAGCAGCAGCGGCAGCAGCAGCGGCGGCGACAGCAGCAACGACTGAGCCGCAGGAGCAGCAGGGAGAGGGGGGGGACGAGGGTCACAAGGGGCATGGTTCCCTGCAGGATGGGATGGAGGGGCTGCCTGTTCTCTCCCAAAACGCCCTCTTTTCGCAAGGCGCCCTCTTTTCCCAGGGTACTCCAGATGATTACCCCTTCCGCTTCCTCTCTACTCCAGACGAGCACCCTGATGGCTCTCCCAAGAAAACCGACAATGGATCTGTAGCAGGAGGGACTGTAGCAGGAGCGACTATAGCAGGAGGGAATGTAGCAGGAGGGAATGTAGCAGGGGGGACTGTAGCAGGAGGGAATGTAGCCGCCAGTGTGGCTGTAGCTAATGCTGCTACAGCCGATGCAGCGGCTGTAGCAGCACCAGCAACGCCCCAAGTGCCCTCATCTGCTGACGTGGCAGCCAGTGCTGCCAGCTCAGGGAACATGGAAGGGAGTTCTGAGGGAGGTACACCTGGGGTAGGCTATATTGGTGTGGGTGGTAGTCACGCCACACACCTCAACGCAGGGAGCAGTGATGGGAGTCGGAGAGGGGGAGATGCAGAGGGTACAGGGGTGGAAGGCAAAAGCCTGTGGAAGCCTGCCCCTAGAAGATTCTCCCCCCCTGCTGTTGCCAGGGGTGATGCTAGGAGTGGTGGTTCTAGGGGCGGCCCTGTGGCTGGTGCTGCTGCAGCAATCTCTGCTCCTGGTGCTGGTGGTTCAATTACTGCCGCTGCTGTGAGCGACGCACTAAAAGACTCGCTTAAGGAACCGCTAAGAGACTCACTTAAGGACCCATGGTCGATCCCTGCGAGCCAGGAACTGCCTCTGCCGTCCACCCCCATCTTTCTGAGTCAGGAGCTTCCCCCTATAGAGCACCTGCCCTCCTCGCTCCCTTCCCTGCCCCCCTCTCAAGAGCCTGTGGTGTGCTTTGGTGGCACTCAACCAGTGGATTTGGGGGAGGGGGAGGGTGCAGACGGTGGTTTGGGCCGAGAGGTGAGTGTGGGTGATGGGCCGGGGGGAGTGGGAGAGAGGGGCATGGGGCAGATGGATGGGGAGGGGGATGGGGGGATAGGTAAGATGGGGGCAATGCGGGAGATGGGGGAGAAAGGAGGGGAGGAGAGTGAGGGGGAATCAGAGGAGGCGATTCAGGAGACTCAAATGGAGGCAGAGGAGGAGGGTGATCGAGGGGGGCATGTGGGACAAGAGGAGCGACAGCAAGAGGTACAGAAGCGGTTCCAGAAAGAGCAACACCACACACATGAGGAGAAGAAGAGCTGTAGCAGCAGCGGAAACGGCAGCGGCAGTGAGGAGAAGGGCTCGTCACCGTTGGATCTTCTGATGCTCGCCCTGTCAGGCGAACAGGGTGGGGATGGGGGGAAGGAGTGTGTGGGAGGGGACGGTACGATGGAAGGGAGGGAGGAAGGACAGGAGGGAGAAAGGCGCGGAGAAAGGGAGGGAGTAGGAGGGGGTGGAAAAGGCGGGAGTCGAGAGGGGAATGTATTGCAGGAAGGGAGATGTCAAATGTCAGGTTTAAGTTATCCATTTGCTGTTCTCACCACTGGCGCTGCTGCCAACAGCACACCACCCCTGGCATCACCCAATGTTGCTGTTTCGGCTGAAGGGGGGGATACGAGCAGAGCAGGGCGAGCCAAATTACTTGGGAGTGAAGCAGGCACGGTGGGGCGTATGGAAGGGGAAAGGGAAGGGGAAAGGGAAGCTGTGGTTGTTGGCAGTTGTACGGATGTAGCTGGGGCTATGGCTAGTGCTGCAGGCGATTGTGGGGTTGTTCCTGGTGCTGCAGGAGATTGTGGTGCCGGTGTGCCTGGTGCGGTAGGGAGCGGTGCTGGTGTGCCTGGTGCGGTAGGGAGTGGTGCACTTGGTGCTGCGTTTTGGATCGGCAGCAGTGGTCCGGGCATGAGCAACGGCACGTGGGGCGAGTGGATGGGGCCCGCTAGGTCCGGCGAAACAGAGATTGTCGGCGGGCTAGCTTCAGATGGGCATGCGGGCACAGGTTCGGAATGCCAGGGCCGGGAGCAGGGGCATTTGAACGGAGAGGGGAATGGGGCAGTGGAGGAAGATACAAGTGGGATGGGAGGATTGAAGCGAGGGAGAGAGGAGGAGAAGGAGGTGGAAGAAGAGCAGAAGCAAGGAGAGGGGAGTGGAGGGGGAGGAACAGAAACAAACGAGGGAGATAAAGGAGGAGGGAGAGGAGGGAGGGGAGAGGAGGAGAGGGGTCAGTAGAAATTTCTTCTTCCGGCTCAGCAAAGCAGGCAATGACAATTCCTCGTATGTTCCTGAGGAGCTCTAACCACGAGCAGAGCGAAGGAGATTCCCCGCAGAGTGGCAGTGCGGGTGGCTCGAGCAAGGGAACAGCGATTGGGGTGGCAGGTGGATGGAAGGGGAAGCGGGGAGGGATGAGTGGAGGGAGAGGGAGGAGGAAAGGGGTTGGTGGTGGGGAGGGAGGGGGAGGGAAACGGCAGGTGGGGGGCTGGAGAAACTGGACGATTGATACTTGACGAGGTATTGGTGATTACGGTTTTTACAGCGCGATTGTTCACGAGCAGTTGTATTTGGTTTGTTTTTTGCATTGGCCTGCTAGTTGGCCACTGCTGTAGAATCTGGCTTGGTAGGTTACTAGATTACGCTGGAAAACTAATTGCTTGTCGTACATAAATCAGATTTCACTAGTCCTGTTTGAGAGATTGGCTTGTCTTGTGGAAAGCAATTATTCTGCGGTTGTCAAGTTATCGATAAGCAGTAGAGAAACATGATTCTACCGTATCGAATATTGACAGTGAAGGATTCCTCCGTCGAAACACCCACCTTTTTCAACTCCCGATCGCATCCCTGTCGCCCCGCATTTTCGCATTTTCCCCAACTTCCCTCACCAATAAGAAACGCTCTGCACCTCTTTGCAACTGCCCTGTCTCCTCTCCTTCCCTCTCGCCTTCCACATTTCCTACCTTCCCAACTTCACCCCGCCAATATCCCTCCGGGATTGCAGTCGCACCAAGTTCACACGCATCGCAAACCATCGCAAACCATCGCAGCATCCCTTCCCCCACACCGCTTCGTTCGCGCAACCTTTCCTCACACGGCTCACCTGCTTCCTGCTTCGTCCCCTCCACTGCATTTCCCCTCCACGATTGATCTCGCGGATTCAGCCCGAACTCTGCTCTGCACGGCACACAACACCACCCACTCACCAGCTCGCTAATCCATATGGATCGAACCGCGCTGTAGGAAATTAGCTCACGATTGCTGCATACGCCGTCTTCCGCGCCGTTTTTTTTGGTCTTGATCGTATAAATTGTCTGGATATGGCTGTTTCATCGGCATCGAACAGTGATACTTTGCTGGCTCTTATCGCAAAAAACTTCCGGCTTCACATTTATATTAGTCCTTTACCGCATCATACCTTTCATACGTTCCTTTTCCACGGAAATTATCTACCACTGGAAGCATTCTGAGCGCCGAGCATCCTGAAACAAGCCGTATCGTCTCTCTCGACTTATTTTAAACGGGTGCGTTTGCAAGTATGGCGAGCACGCACTACGGCGCTTATCCCGGCCATTATCCCGCGGGGCCTCAAGCGGGAGCGTCTTATCACCAGCAGCCGGCTCACGCCGGTGCTGCTCCTCCGCCTCCTTACGTTGCGCCTCAAGCCCAAGTTCCGTCGCAACCGTATGCGGTCGTGGGGTCGCAGTACTGCTTACCGTACGAGACTGTGCTTGTAATGAAGGAGAAGATGTTCTCGTTAAGCGAAGCGAAGAAGGTCCAAGATACAAATGGGAATCTGCACTTCAAAGTCGCAAACAGGTGAGGCCTCAATTTATTTCACGGAACCCTCTTTAATGTAGTTGTAAATATGTCTTTCCGTCAGGATTTTTGCGTGAAGCCCTTTTCCTTTTCAAATGATTTGCCTTGCCTCTGCCATTGTTAAATATCAGTATTTACTAGACTAGCTATTCATACGCTTTAACCTTTTTCCCATCTTCGCCAATTTGATTGTCCCGAACCAGGCTGCTATCCATTCCCAACAAGACGGAAATTCAGGACGCCACAGGAGCACCCGTGTGTATGCTAGTAGGCAAGGTGTTAACTCTGCACAACACCACCTACCTCTGCCCGGGGAGCAGCACAGAAACCGTCGGTCACTTGCTTAGAGCCAGGAGGCCTTACATCACCTTTCGACCCGTTATTGAGGTGCGCTTGCTGCTACAGGGTCCCAAATATCGATCTGCCATTTTCTCTTTCCCAATTTTATATGTTACCTTCTCTTTCCTATTTTCTGCTCCGTCTCTCCATTTTCCATTTCTTTGGTACCTTCTGAGTCCTGACCAGTCTATTCTCCACCTAAAGTTTTTCTCATCAACCTTATTCAACCTCTTGCATCTTTCTTCTCCCTGCTTGTAGGTGTTCTTACGGGGCAACGTAACAAAAAACCCAGACATTTACCTTACTGGCTCCATTTTCCAGCATGACTTCAAGGTACTCTCTCAAGAACTCATCTTTTTCCCAGACACCCCCCTGGAACATCTCTCTCTCTCTCTCTCTCTCTCTCTCTCTCTCTCTCTCTCTCTCTCTCTCTCTCTCTCTCTCTCTCTCTCTCTCTCTCTCTCTCTCTCTCTCTCTCTCTCTCTCTCTCTCTCTCATTCTTGAGTGTGACAGATTGAACTGCTGCATCTGTTTGTATAATTTTGTTATCCAATGCTTGCTGTATCCACTTTCACCCTCCCCTGCCATCCTTTTGACAGATCATCACCTGCAACAACATGCTATTGGCTGAAGTGAGCCGTGACATGTTCACTGCACGTGACCTTGTCTTCGGTGTTCAAACATACTTCGTGCGGATCTTGCCGAATGTAGACATGGCGTTAGTTCTGGCTCTGGTTACTCTAGCAGACACCATGTATGTTAATAGAGATGGGTCTCGCATTGAGTTGTAGTTTAAATATGTACGTGTAACTTTTGTGTCTGATTAGAATACTAATTATGTCAAAAAACTTATATTAGACAAAAAAACCCTTTATTTTACTCGGTAAAAACTTTGCAGCCAGGTTTTGCTGTTATTATCCACTATTTGAGTCGTTTTGATGGATTTTGGTTTCAGAATGTAGTTAGAAAGGGTGCTAAAAAATTTGGAGCCAGAAACTTAAAGAGTCTGCTTTTAACACGGCACAAGACTTGGCATCTTGACTTCGCAGCAGTGCTACGACCCGTTCCCAGTCTTTTTTTATCTGCGCAGTATTTTTTCTCCACAGGCTATTCGACTTACGACTTAGTAGTGAGCGTTTCCACGAATGGGATTGCTTCTGCCGTCATTTCACCTGCCCGTAGGCGTCTGTGAACCACATGGTTCTACAGAAGCGAGGCCGATGGAGACGGTAACCGCCGGGTATCACACGTGAGAATAAAAACTAGAGATTGTAGCTAATGAAGGTCAGCGGTCTGAGAGGAAAGCAGGCAGAAATTTTCTGGACGAACGAGCGGCGGAATGTTGAGCGGTCCGAATCGAAGTAAAGTCGAATCGACGGACGTCCACCGCCTCGAGTCGCTGCAAAAATCAGGGCCCTGATTCGTCGCCAGAATCAGCTCACGAGTCGTCGTGAGGGAACCCGGAGTCTTCTAGCAGGCGCAAAGCAACACGTCACACACCACTTATCATTCCCTATTTACAGCAGAGCAGAGCAGGCTGGCACTTTGTCACTCGCTTTCGCCAAAGTTGCCTTTGCCGGACCCTAATTTCTCTCCATCATGGAAACTCTTCCCGCTCCTCACGTTGCGCCTCAAGAGCAAGCTCCGACGCAACCCTATGTTGTCGTGGGGCCGCAGTACTGCGTTCCGTACGAGACTACGCTTGTGATGACGGAGAAGATGTTCTCGCTTAGGGATAAAAAAGAGATTCGCGATACCAAGGGAAATCTGCTCTTCAATGTCGCAGACAGGCGAGTTCCGATCCTGTTTTGTCGCGCTCTCAATGCTTCTTCTACCTCGTTTTCCCGTTACTCCGTGACGCGCTCGTACCTCGTTTTTCCGCCACTTTTGCGCCTTCCGTCAAACCGTGAGACGCTTTGTACCTCTTTTTACAGCTTTGTACCTCTTTGTACCGCTTTGTACCTCCTTTTCCCGTCACCTTTGAGGCGCTTGCACCTCGTGTTTCCGCCACCTGGCTGCACTAGTCTTTCTTCTCCTCGGCTCCGTCCCTGTTTCCAGCCTCCCTATATCATTTTTTTAGCATGTGCTAGTAGTACGAGCCACCCTATATCCGTAATTCTCTTCTCCTCTCCCCTCCTCTCCAGTTTACCATAAATCCCATTCTCCCATCCCTTTTCAATCCACAATTCTCCCACAACCAGGCTGCTATCCATTCCCAGCAAGACCGAGATTCTGGACGCTACAGGAGCACCCGTGTGCATGCTAGTAGGCAAGGTGTTTAGCCTCCACAACACCACCTACCTCTGCCCGGGGAGCAGCACGGACACCAACTCTCACCTGCTTATGGTCAAGAAAGTCATCTTCACCTTTTGCCCCGTTCTCCAGGTGTGCTCTCAGCTGCCAACTTGACAGTTTCATCAGTTCTTGTTCTGGATTATTCGCTTGTTTTTTGAAATATTATCTCACCTAAGTTTTCGCATTTGTCCAACCCTCTTCCTAGCATCCTCCTTTTTTTTTGTTGCCTCACCTACGTTTTGTGGTCCTCTATTTCACTCACTTTTACGACCTTGCAGGTGTTTTTACAGGGGAATAATTCGGACCAGCCAGACATTACCCTTTCTGGCTCGTTCTTTGAACACGAGTTCAAGGTGAGAAGTTCTCCCAAGCCATCCCTTTTTTACATAGCCCCCTCCTCCCCCACCTCCTTTTCTTCCATTCCCATTCGTTACAGGATATAACCGTTGCATGTCTTTGTCACAATTCACTTGATGTGTTCCGTTTCTGTTTCCACCCGAAACTCAATCCCTGCTAATCTCAATGTCAGATCACCACCAGCAGTGGCGTCCTATTGGCCGAAGTAGGTCGCGACTTGTTCACTGCAAGGGACCTTCTGTGTCACACCCAAACGTACTATGTGCGAATCTTGCCGAATGTGGACATGGCGTTGATCCTGGCTCTGGTTAATCTGGCCGACTCTATCTTTGTTGACCAGAAAGGGTCTGGCGTTCACGTTGGCGTCCGTGTTGGTTCGTCACGTTAGCACCCTCCCCTGCTCATGAGTGTATATGGATTTTGAATCCGAATCAGGTTGAAGGGGAGAGGGGGAAGGGAGGGGTGAGGGGTGGAGTGGGGTTAATGGTGGGTTTTGGGGAATTTTGGAGGGGAGGGGGCTAGTTTTCAATACTGTCATCTTCGGATATAAGACATATGTTAAGATAGCAATCAGAATGAGGAGCCATTGCTAGGGTTTACCTAGCTAGGCAAGAGAGAATTAGGCAAAGGAGGAGTTTTCACTAGCTGCAGTTGGGATACATATAGCAAACCCTAACTGGGTTGTACCCGCTATAGAGCACCCCACTACAGGCTAGATAATAACATTCTGACACACCCCCATAGCCAAAGTGGGGTGTAATCAGCACAATGAGCAAGCATAGCAGGAGTTCACAATAATAAGCAAAGCTAGAGGTAATCACAGCGGGCAAGTGAGGAGGAGGAGGAGGAACTGCGGAAGGAGAGAAGCTGGGAGGCAACGACTGAAGCTGCAGAGGCACGGGCACAGGAGCGGCTGACTCAGTGGCTACCGAAGCAAGGGCGACGGACTACTGGAGTGACTGGCTCCGCGGCTAAGACGAGCGGCAGGAGCAACGGACCCACTGGCAACTGGTGCAACAGGCTCACTGGCTACCGAAGCAAGGGCGACGGACTACAGGCGCTGCAGGCGACACGACAGCTACCTCCACACAACCTCCTCCAACTGACCCACACCCTTGACACACACCCCCTGCTGAACCCCTAACTCCACTCCCACGTCACCCCCCTAGCACCACTCCTTCGGCTCCCCACACACCCACCCCCCTCAGCGGCAGCTGCAGCAGTGGGAGACGGAGGAGGAGGAGGAGCAGGGGACGGCGCACACTCTTGCACCCCCATAACCGCCACCCCCACACTCGCCACCCCCAAACCCTAAAACGGGTGGCACGGGGCAGGAGCGCGGGGGACGGCGCGCGGCCCTGAGGCAGGCTGCCCGGGCCGGGTGCGGTCCTGGCGCAGCCCGTACGGGCCGCGCGCGGGCCTGGCGCAGCCCGTACGGGCCGCGCGCGGGCCTGGCGCAGCCCGTACGGGCCGCGCGCGGGCCTTTCGCAGCCCGTACGGGCCGCGCGCGGGCCTGGCGCAGGTCGCGCGGGCCGTGTCGGGCGACGGGGGGCGACGCGCGGGTCCGCGGGCTCCGTGACGGGCGACGGGGGGCGCTTCGACGGGCGACGGGGGGCGCTTCGACGGGCGACGGGGCGGTCGACGGGAGGGGGGGAAGCGCGGGTTGCCGGGGTGACGCACGAGGGAGGAAACCGCCGCGCGCCTCGGGGCCACGGCGGGCAGAAAACCGCCGCGCGCCCCGAGCGCACGGCGGGAAGAAAAAAATGAACATCGCACGCCACGTGACGCGCAACACACAGGAAGGCAGCGGAAGCAGGCGGGCCCACAGGCCAGGAGCGTAACCGCTCTGATAGCATGTTAAGATAGCAAGCAGAATGAGGAGCGATTGCTAGGGTTTACCTAGCTATGTCAAACTATATGTGCTGCATATTGTCTAGGCTGTAGTGGGGTAGCCCATGTGGGGTACAACCCAATTAGGGTTTACTACTTGTACTCCTGCATCCTGCTAGTTCAATCATTCCTGCTGCTAGATTCTGACATGGTTTCAGAGCACTAAGGTCCGTAGGACCGCTTTTTTTTTTTTTTTTTTTTTTTTTTTTTTTTTTTTTTTTTTTTTTTTTTTCGGGCCCACCTACCGCTGCGGTTACCACGCTACCCCACGTACCTGCCTGCCTTGCCTTGCCTTGTGACGTGCTGCACTACGTGCGCCGTCCTGCAGCCCTAGTGCTGCCTCCTGCTGCCCTAGGCCAGCGCGCTGCCCCTGCAGGCCCGTAAGGCCCGCGCGCCGCCCCTGCAGGCCCGTCAGGCCCGCGAACAGCCCCTACAGGCCCGTCAGGCCCCCTGCTGCCGCGCGCTACCGCACCGAGCCGTGTGCAGCCCGCTGCTGCCGCGCGCTGCCCGCACCGAGCCCGTACAGCCCGCTGCAGCCGCGCGCAGCCCGCACCGAGCCCACGCAGCCCGCGCCGAGCCGCGCGCAGCCCGCTGCAGCCGCGCGCAGCCCGCACCGAGCCGCGCGCAGCCCGCTGCTGCCGCGCGCAGCCCGCGCCGAGCCGCGCGCGGCCTGCTACTGCCTCGCGAGTCCCGCGCGCGGCCCGCAGCAGCCCGCGCCGAGCCGCGCGCGGCCCGCAGCAGCCCGCGCCGAGCCGCGCGCGGCCCGCTACTGCCTAGCGCGGCCGCGCGCGGCCTGCAGCAGCTCAGCGTGCTGTCAGCGCAGCCCGCGCCGAGCCGCGCGCGGCCCTCTGCCTCGGCCCCGACCTGCCGCTGATGCGGCCCCGCCCTGCAGCTGCCACGGCCCCGACCTGCCGCTGATGCGGCCCCGCCCTGCAGCTGCCACGGCCCCGACCTGCCGCTGACGCGGCCCCACCCTGCAACTGCCGCTGAAGCGGCCCCGCCCTGCAGCTGCTTCGGCCCTGCTCTGCAGCCGGTGTTGCGGCCCCGACGTCGCCGCTGTCGTGCGCCTACTCGGTCGCCGCCCGTCGAGCGCCGGCACTGCTCGCCCGGTGAGCGCCTGCTCTCCCAGCCTTTGGTGAGCGCCTGCCTGCCTGCCTGCCGGCCTGCCTGTCTGTCTGCCTGCCTGCCTGCCTGCCTGGCTGCCTGCCTGCCTGCCGGCCTGCCTGCCTGCCTGCGCGCCTGCCTGCCTGCCTGCCGGCCTGCCTGCCTGCCTGCTTGCCTGCCTGCCTGCCTGCCTGCCTGCCTGCCGGCCTGCCTGTCTGCCTGCCTGTCTGCCTGCCTGCCTGCCTGCCGGCCTGTCTGCCTGCCTGCCTGCCGGCCTGCCTGCCTGCCTGCCGCGCCTGCCCTGCCCGAGCTGCTGCTGCTACTACTCCAACTAGGAGGTGACCAGATGCAGCTCCAGCGACGTTCACGCGAGTCTCTCACGCCCCAACAGCTTAGTGAGTGGTACGCTACTTGGGGTTGTCGCGGTAGCCGTCGTAGCTGTCGCCCTGGAGCTGGTCAGTTGGGGGCGTCTGGCAGTGGCCAGCTGCAGCTGCAGCGGCGGCAACGCGAGACACTTACGCTCCAGCAGCTCCATGAGTGGTACGCTCAGTGTAGCAGGTCTACGCGTACAGTTCGCTGCCCGTACGTCATTCGCACATGTGATAGGACTGGTCAGCCTTGTGGGACGCTTGGTCACACACAGTCCCGCTGCTTCGCCCGTCTGAGCGACGACTGGCGTACAGTGTTTGGCGACGAGGCTGAGCTCCCTACCTGGCTGGAGCTGCATGGACAGAGGGTAGATATCTTTGCGCTTGACTATGATGCTATTCTCACTGCCATGTATGCATTGCCTACTAGTGCTGACCGTGCCTGTTACCTGTGCGTACCGCCTGACCCTGGTATAGAGCCTGCTGCTCTCGGTGCTGGTGAGGCTGCTGCTCTAGGTGCTCGTGCGTCTCCTGCTCTAGGTGCTGGTGAGGCTGCTGCTCTCGGTGCTAGTACGTCTCCTGCTCCAGGTGCTGGTGAGTCTGCTCTCTCTGGTACTGCGCCCGCAGCGGTCTCGCACACCTTCACCCTTGACTCAGGAGCTTCCCGCTCCTTCTTTCGCGACTGCACCACACTCACGCCGCTTAGTCGGCCAGTTCCAGTCTCCCTGGCGGACCCCTCCGGGGGTCCGGTCCTTGCCCACTACTCCACGGTTCTGCCGTGTCCGGCCGCCCCGTCCGGCTCGCTGTCAGGTCTTTACCTCCCCTCGTTCTCTACGAACTTGGTGAGTGGAGCTGACCTCCAGGATCGGGGGGTTGACCAGTTCACTCCTGCGAGTCAGCGAGTGACTCACTGTACGTGTGCTCGGACGGGCCGGCACTTGGCCACGTTCACCCGTGCACCTGGCTCGAGTCTGTACACACTGACCGCCGAGTCCCCTCAGGTAGCTGCGTCTGCGTCTACGTCTGGTCAGCTGGCGGCCCCCTGCGAGTGTCGCGCTTTGTCGCACGACACTCTCCTGTGGCACCACCGCCTTGGTCACCCCTCCCTGCCTCGCCTTCGTAGCATGCACTCTCGCTCCCTGGTCTCTGGTCTTCCCAGGTCTCTGCCTGCCCTCCCTCCCTCGCCTGCGCCGCCCTGCATTCCCTGTGTCGAGGGGCGGCAGCGCGCCGCTCCTCACTCCTCCTCGTTCCCTCCCACAGAGGCTCCCCTGCAGACTCTCCACCTGGACGTGTGGGGCCCAGCCCGCGTCAGTGGACAGGGCCGCGAGCGGTACTTCCTGCTGGTCGTCGACGACTACACGCGCTACATCACGGTTTTCCCCTTGCGCAGCAAGGGGGACGTCCCTGATGTTTTGATCCCCTGGATCCGCGCTGTTCGTCTCCAGCTCCGCGAGCGGTTCCGGCGGGACTTTTCTGTCCTGCGTCTGCACTCTGACAGAGGTGGTGAGTTCACCTCAGACCTCTTGGCAGCCTACTGTGCGGAGCACGGCATCACCCAGTCGTTCACGCTTCCAGCCTCTCCGCAGCAGAATGGGGTTGCTGAGCGCCGCATTGGCTTAGTCATGGAGGTCGCTCGTACCTCCATGATCCATGCGGCTGCCCCCCATTTTCTGTGGCCGTTTGCGGTCCGGTACGCCGCGCATCAGCTCAACCTATGGCCCCGTGTCTCCTTGCCGGAGACCTCGCCCACACTGCTGTGGACGGGGAAGGTTGGCGATGCGTCGCGTTTCCGGGTCTGGGGTGCTCGTGCCTTTGTCCGCGATACCTCCGCGGACAAGCTCTCCGCCCGCGCTGTTCCCTGTGTCTTCCTTGGCTTTGTCCCTGACGCGCCTGGTTGGCAGTTTTACCACCCCACCTCGCGCCGTGTCTTTGCGTCTCAGGACGTCACGTTCGACGAGTCGGTTCCCTTTTACCGTCTCTTCCCCTACCGCACTGCCCCGCTCCCCCCCCCGCCGCTCTTCCTCGC